TCAATTCAATCATATTCAGGCCAAAGTGCAATAAACCTCAAAAAGTTTATGTGCTAAAAAACTAAACGAGAAATTCCTTCATAATTTACTGCCTCATTTAATTGAAACAAACTAAGTCACGCTCTTACCTTAACAACCGCAAAATGGTGAGAGTTGAGAGAGGCTCAGTGACTCGGAAACTGAAATGCGACCTATTGAAAAAATTCAGCAAATTACCAAAAACGAACAAGTGCCATCACATCGCATTATTGAATCGCTTTACGGAAACGAGTGTCAGAGTGCAATCACTTTCATTTGTTCAATTTTTTTCCAGAGGGATTAGAAAATTTTCGCAAATGAATTTAAGACGGACGCAACTTTTCAAATCATCCAAAATTCCCAATGCATCACGCTCGGATTGAACTTGAACTATACACTGCGATGACAAACTCAAAGTGAAGCAAGGCTTAATGGGTGAAGACGAGAGGAATAAGGAATACAGTAAAAGAATATTCGACTGAATGATTTTCTAAATGAAAGTAATTGTGACCTCTGAAAATACACACATAAATCTAGTTGAGCTCCATCAAACTTCAAAAACTGAAATCAAATCTAAACTCAAAACTGAAAACAGCTGCTCCAACATCACAGATAATCGCTTGAGCTAGTTTGACACATGCCGGTCGTTTGTTCAAATAATGAAGGTTTCAGTTTGGAATCGAACAAAATCATCAATTCACCGAGTGAATCAATTGTGAGATAAACTAATTCATTGTCTATTGAATACAANNNNTGGAGATATTCTTCTGGACAATATTCCACTAATCAAGAACAAGTTTTTGGAAGTCAGAAATAAATTTACACATACATAATCACAGATGATCTATGTTTTATGAGCTATTCCAGCAAATGAGTAAATGAAGATACATTTAATCAGTCTATCACTCGAGCACTCAACAAAATAACAAAATCGAATAAGTCCATCTCAAGTGGAAAATCAAGGGAGACTAGCTGAATATCCTGAAACGAGCAGCTTAATCTAACTTACATGATTTAATACAGCTTAATCCTTCATCATCAAACCAACCATCCCTTAATCCTGTTGTCCTCTTAATCCAATCCTAACCCATAGCACTTTCTTGCAACTCACTGAACATACCTTTCAAGATACTTAATCCCAGTTGATTGAAAAGATAATCCAAATCAAAAAACAATAAAGATTAAGCGTTGAACTACTCGATGGAACAAACTAAAAAGAGGACCAGATAAAGATGCGGTCGAATGAAGTCATGTGACGATATCATTTTATGATAAAATTAGCGACACTGTGGCAGTTCTATCGAATATCTCTAATATTCAAATGTCATCATTTCCACAAAAAATATTAAGCTGTCAATCAATGTCGCCTGACTGCAAGTTTATGCTTTAGTACTGCAAACTTACATCACCCACAAGCAGAGAGTCCCATTGAATATGACTCGTATATCTTGCAAATCACTTACAATCAACGAAACATTCTTCTATATCAGAATATCCTCAAAACGAACGAAATTTTTTGCAGAACTATCAGGAGAGATGTAAACCTGAATGATTTGATGACCACACTATCTCATAGAANATTCTTGATTATAGAATTACCACTTACGTCTCACACTTCTGCGTGTTGATATACGGTTCCGTTGAATCAAAAAATGCATATAGCCCATACTGAGTCAACGATTATGAATTTGAATCTAAATCAAAATCACTCAACAATTATGAGTCAGTACAAAAATGAATGCGGAATGCTGAACTTTCGATGATGACCAACAAAGAGGCAGAATACTTAATTCTAATCAGATCATAGGAAATAACCCAAGATCACACGTTATCCAATTCAACGTGATCTTCTCTAAACAATGTAATCACGTTCATCAGTAATAATCACCGTGGAATGTGCGCTTGGAGAGAAGACGCAGTGAAAGCAATGAATAATATCACTGAGTGATTATAAACTGACTGTAAGATTGCTGATAAGTCAAATGCTTAATTGCGTTTTTAGTTTCGTCTTCTATCGAAGCAAGAATTAAAGTTTTTGAGCATTTCATCGTGTATAACAACAGAAAATGTCGCACACCCAAATAAGTCAACAAATCTTATCATAATTTCTCAGTTCTTATCGATAACGACTCTAAAGCAGTCCTGCTGAATGACATCACTGAACAAGAACGATGTTCTCAAACAATAGCAACACTTATTATCACCACCATAACAATGATAAAAACAGACAACTGATAGTGCTATTTATCATAGTCAAGAAAGACTGACTGACTGCACTGACAATTCAATGATTCAAGGTTCCAACTCAAGGAATCATAAGACTTAAAAATTTCTAAGATAAGTTCTCTAGGATTTCAAAAACCTTATAATTTTGCACGAAAAGTTAATTTTTCGAGTTTTCTACTTTCAAGTGCTTAATTTATCAATAGCAATCAAGTCACAGTAGCTGCAAATCATCACACTTATGATATCATGTCAAATTTGAGTCAGTTATGAAACCTGCGTTCGAATTTTTAGCTAATATAACAAATCTCAGTTATAACATGCTTCCAGCCTTTTCAAGCGATCAGTGAAGTTCGCAAATGCAAACATAGATTTGGACTGGAACAATTTTCAGTTCAGTTACTATCACTTTGCAGAAAAACGAGGATAAATATGAAATTTTATGATTCAAAAGTTTTGTTTTCTGATCACGTCACACACTAATTCGAATATCCACTTACTCACTTCATACAGTCATAGAAATAGACCAATGAACAACAGTGTACGCTGCAACGCTATCAACTACATACCAAACATAGTTATTACTCATCTAAAAATCAAAAAACAGTTATCAGTATCACTACTGTTTCATGCACTCCATTGATGTTCTATTTATAGCACTATGCATATTTGTGTTAACAACAAGTATCAATATTTTTCTGATAAGACAAATTACAGCTGCATTCTCGCAAATCAACTTCTCAATTCAATCGGAACCCCGATAGCTGTACAAGAAGAAAAA